TCCAGGAAGCGGTCTTTTCCTCAGTCAGCCAGGTAAGGTCGTACCTGAACAAGTCGTAGCCTATGGCTAGACGCGCGCATCACCCGCCCAGCTTGAGAGGCGGCGAGATGCAAACAGATCAAACCTGATCAAAACAAGCAAACTCACCAATGCATGGAGTGCATTTCACAGTATCCATCTATAAGCCTTGAGGTATGGCCGGTATGGTATGCGGTATGCTAGTCTATGATCGAATTTGGGTGATCAGTCCAAAGGCACGGAGGGGGCGGGAGGTTCAGGGAGAACATGGCAAAACACTGTTGCTTGTAGATGGGCGAACTGTCGGGCGAGGGTCTCCACTGACCACTCAACTCTCTCACTTGCCTACGCACTCAGATCAAGATCTGGTTCGCTTTGCCAACACAGCTGGCAAGTTCTATCGCTTTCTGCTTTTCGGTGACTTCATTAAACAACAACCTCAACCCAAACCTTAGTTTCACCCATCTGAAGTGAAGGGTCACTGCAACCATGATGACCGGTCACCCCATCATCCACTTCGGTGCACTTCTCGGTCGCGGCCTCACCTCACCAGCCCTGTCTTGCTCCACCTCACCAGCGAGTCGAGTCTGCAGCCCTGGAGGGAGCGAGCATGACATCGACAGAGCAGCAAGGAAACACGAGCAGAGCATCAGCCAATGGTTATTGGTGAAGAAGAAGAATTAGAATTCAGAAATGCTACAAGGTGCTCTATTTGTAATAAAAATGTTGATGAATGTGATGGAAAACGTTAGAGATACCAAAACACAAAATAAAAGAAGCAAAAATTACCAAGTCTTCAGAAGTCTTGTCTTGGGTTGGGTGTCCAAAAACCAAAAAAAAAAAACAAAAAACAATCCTAGGAGACTCTTTGGGGAGTAAACCAAAAAATTAAAACAAAAAAAACAAAAAAAATTATATAGCCCAGCTGGAGACCCCAATAGCAAGATACAAACCGGGACAAAAAGAAAAATCTGGAAACAGCTGCTGTTTTCAACACATCGACCATCTCTTCCTTGGACACCATCATCACATAACCGGGACACCATCACAAAATGACCAGGGCACCATCAAAACATGACCGAGACACCGTCACAACATGATTGGGACACCATCACAACATAACCGGGACACCGTCACAAGGTGACCGGGACACCAGCATGACATGACGGGGACACCATCACAACATGACCGGGACACTATCACAACATGACCGGGACACCGTCACATGACCCGGACACCATCAAAACATAACCGGCACACCGCCAAAACATGACCAGGACACCATCACAACATGACCGGGACACCATCAAAACATGATCGGGACACCGTCACAACATGAGCGAGACACCTGGGACACAATCACAACATGACCGGGACACCATCACAAGGTGACCGGGACACCAACATGACATGACGGGAAAACCATCACAAAATGACCAGAACACCATCACAACATGACCGGGACACCGTCACATGACCCGGACACCATCAAAACATAACCGGCACACCGCCAAAACATGACCAGGACACCATCACAACAGGACCGGGACACCATCAAAACATGACCGGGACACCGTCACAACACGACCGGGACGCCATCAAAACATGACCGGGACACCATCACAACATGACCGGGACACCATCAAAAAATGACCGGGACACCATCAAAACAGGACCGGGACACCATCACAACACGACTGGGACACAATCAAAACATGATCGGGACACCATCACAACATGACCGCGCCACCATCACATGATCGGGACACCGTCAAAACATGACCGGGACACCGTCACAACACGACCGGGACACCATCGCAACATGACCGGGACACCATCACAACATGACCGGGACACCGTCACATGACCGGGACACCTTCAAAACATGACCGGGACACCATCACAACATGACCGGGACACCATCAAAACATGACCGGGACACCATCAAAACACGACCGGGACACCATCACAACATGACTGGGACACAATCAAAACATGATCGGGACACCGTCACAACATGACCGCGCCACCATCACATGATCGGGACACCATCAAAACATGACCGGGACACCGTCACAACACGACCGGGACACCATCAAAACATGACCGGGACACCATCAAAACAGGACCGGGACACCATCACAACATGATTGGGTCACAATCAAAACATGCTCGGGACACCATCAAAACATGACCGGGACACCAGCATCACATGACCCGGACGCCATCAAAACATGACCGGGACACCATCCGCCCACCAGCTCTGACGGTGACCCGACGGCCGTCCGCCTATTAGTTTTGCAAGACCCCATAGCATGGCTATTGGGGAACAATTGCTGGGAGGTCTTGGGCTGGGGGGGGTGTGAAAAGACTCTCTCAGAATCGTGGTTTTTCTTTTTTTACTCCCCAAAGAGTCTCCTAGGATTTTTTTTTTGGCGGGGGGTTACTCCCCAAAGAGTCTCCTAGGATTGTTTGTTTTTAAAGTCCTGTGCATTTTTTCAGAGTACAGCAGTTGAGATGTCCTTGGCAGTACTAGTGCTGTGAATTAATCTCGGTAGATCCTTGAAATTTACTAAAAAATGCACCTCCAAATCACTGAAAATAGAGGTAAAGTGCACTTCCAGTTCTGAAAAGAAACAAGGCCAGAATTCCAAACCATGCACACGCTCACAACAGTGCCCATACCGATGCATGAAAAGCCAAGAAATGCCTTCAACATCCTCCAAACAGGCCAAAAAACGAGGCATAGAACACATGTGTTACTCATCAGGAACTTCGGACGTAAGGACGCCGGACACAGGAAAAGAAGGGATGTCGAAGAGGATGGTTGTTCAATGGATGTTCCTTTACCCGGGCTGGATCGCCCATCTATCGGTCCTACATACAAAAAATGTGATCACATGTGTGAACGCATACCAATCCCATCCTGGCTCGCTGTTTGGCGTAAGCCCTTAGGTAGTGAAAACGACTCACACCCCACATTCACCATCTGCTTGACCCCTTCTGCGAACCTCTGCTCGGCTTCACGGTGACACCTCGCGCCGCTGAGTCCTTCTCCTCGGGACAATGACAGCGCACTTTCTTGAACTTTACAACTGGTTGGTGCTTGCAGCAGCTCGACCAACTCGGAAAGGACACTCCGAAAGACAAGTGATTTCTCTCGGTGGGAAAATGGAACTTCATAGTTCGTTGACAGGCAAGGCCATGACAATACACGAAGAAGCTTGACATGGTGTCTCTCTGGCCAACACCCTGCGCAGGGGTGGGCACCTCAACTGCTTCCTCCAAGGGAAGAGTTAAATTGCTGCATGTTCTGCAAGCAAGAGACGGATGCCATCCAAAAATGTGAATTGTCACAGGAGTGCGCTCAGGAATGATAGCACTCAGCTTGGCAATTCGTTCAAGGGAAGGTCTAGGAATGTGCTCAGGAGTGCGGCTATCTGGCTATCCGACTATCCAACAAAGCCAACCCTTTGCATACGGGTTCTTGCTTCTAAACGCCGGACTTGCAATGATGATGCGGGATTGAACCTGTTGCACATGCCCACACATGAAGCTTCACGCTGTGTTTCAACAGGAGAAGCCTTAGAATAGGCCGCATACTGCACAAGGATTGCGGCCAATTCTGAGAACATGTCGAGCAGGTTGCGCGAAGGGTTTCCGGGTGAACTTCCTGCATCCTGTCTGCAGGAAGGCCAGCCCCAATCGACCCACCCACAAATCAAAGGACTTGGCCGTCTGCAGGGAGCATATTTGGAAACTATCCTGCAAGGAGGCTGCAAAGGTCCGCATTATCACCCTTTGCAGCTCGTGACTGCCAGGGCAACAGGCACACTCAACACACCCGATAAACACAACTCAAAGGACATGAGATTCTCTAGAATAACAAAGGCCCCCCTGGTTCACTTGACCAGAAAGATTTGTTCCCCTCAAGTTCCTGATGGAACCGTGCTTGGGCAGGCGGATCAAAACAAATTCCACTTTGCTTGCGGGCCTAAAAACATCTTAAAGCTGCCTGACTTGAAATGATGATGCAATGCTGGACTGGACATGTTGCGGTTGCCCACGCACTCAGAAGCTTGGCAGTGTGCTGAGAGCACAGGGAAAAGCAAAACACCCCGATTCAAAGTGCTGTCGGAGTGTTGTTGTGTTTCACAGGCCTTGTCCCCAAACCTAGGCCAACACCTAAAACGCTCCAAATCAGACGCCTTTGCCGTCTGCATGGAGCATACTTAATCTGGGAACTATCCTGCAAGGAGGCTGCAAAAGGCCACCTCCTTATATCACACATTATCACGCTTTGCAGCTCGTGACTGCCGAGGCAAAAGGCACACTCAATACATATGACCACACGTTTAACCGGAAAAGAATCTGCTCAAAGGATATGCAATTCTCAAGATCCTACACATTTTACGAAGCTGGCTGCCTGGTTCATTTGCGAAGACTTCTGGCCCTCCTCAATCAAGCTGCAGTCTTTATACAAATCGGACTTGCCTGGATCCACCTATAGCAGCTCAGTTTTGGTCTTCTCTTGCGCAGGCTCCTCTCACGGTTTCCAAAAGATTCCCCCACACTTGGAAAGAATCAATCAAACGAATCAAACACCTAAACGCAACAGAACTTCCAAAGCCGACATCATCTTCTCCGATTTGTCTCTTTGCGATCTCCGTGTCGCCTGCGCCTCGGGCATGGCAGGCTCCAAGGCCGCGGCTGGCGCCAACGTGGGCGGCGCCTGGACGGAGGTGGGTCGTTGATAGCATTCCCCCTGTTTCACGTACTGTCGACCCTGGGCCGCAACCTTGTGGCGCTTCTAAAAGGATGCTCTCAGCACCTTTCGTACAACTCAACTGATTGCTGACTCGGCAGTGCCCAGTGTCCCCCCGGTGCCCCGTGTCCCCACCCGGTGCCCCACAGCACCATGCGTCCCACCTTGACCACTTTGGCGGTGAATGCCTGGGAACTCACCCGGCTGGAGGACACCAAACTCAGACTGCCAGGGTCCTTCGCGGTCAAGACCTGACAAAATGCAGAAGCAAAACAACAACCTTTCCGCAATGCCAGGGCATTCAATCTTTGGAGCGTTGGTGTGGTCTTATTCTTGGATTCCTTTAAAAAAAATTACGCCGGCCAGAGCCCTGACAGGTCAAAATTGCCGGGTTTTGAAGATTTGGTGTTTCGTGCCTCGCTGCTGAGGACCGACATGCCCAAGAGCAAGTGCTTCAAATCGTAGATTCCAAGTGTTTCCAACTTGTCCTTCAGTTCCTGGCGCAGGCTGGTCTAGAGACCCCCAGCTAGCAAGAAGAAGGAAACCAACAACTGGGTGATGCGGAACACCTTGTCAGGCCTTCTCAACAAAAATGAAAAATAGTTTGGCCATCTTTGGCCAGGGGCCCTGCTGCAAGGCGACCATAGTCAAAGGAGAAAAACAGGCTCTGAGATCGTACCACGGAAAGAAGAATGAACCAATTCAATCACAGCAAAAAAACACCGCGGCTCAAAGCCAGGGCCTGCGGTACAGTAATGGTCTAAGCGTGGCACCGTCGAGAAGGGGACCGAAGCGTTGCCAAAATGCCAGCCCCACAATGAGAAGAATTTTGTGACTGCACAATCATGCGCACACAAACATGGGTCCAAACGCATCTGCACCCGCAGTTCTTTAGTTATACAGACGGCATGTGCATGATTTGGCGTACATATAATCATACATTGATGGTATCACCTCAAGCTCAAGCTCTTAGCCCTTTGTGTTTCATGACATCTCGTGTCGACCTCGTCGTCCGCGCGCACAGAGCCAGCCAGCACGAGCCGTCCTCCACAGTCATGATGTTGAGAAGTGCGATCATCGTATGCAAATCGTCGGCGATCGATGAGGGCTTCGGGGCTCGGCCGGCGGTCATGATCCACAGCTCCTGGGAAGGGCGGGGCCGACAAAGAGAGTTTCAAATCAACTTAAGGAAGAAAAGCACCAGCTGGGCATGACCCTGCGCATCGGCCAATACAATGCAATGCCGTTGTTGAATCATGTGGGCGTTGTCAATGCGCCATGCGAGCATCACAGCACGGCAATATGTTGGCATGATTGCGCATGTGCCCACATATGTGCAAACATGACAGCGAGCAACAAGAGCTAAAAAAGAATACTATACCAGGGTAGGCCCCAAACAGTTTGCGCCTTTATGAATAAGCCAGAGACGAACTGTCAAAACAGTTGACTCAAGCCGTTCCAGCTTGCGGTGATCAATTCGGACCTTCTGGGATTGTTCCAGCGCTTGGCTCAATTGGCTCAAGGTCAGGACCAACAGTTCAGACGAAAACAGAACATACGCCAGTCTATTGAATATGCTGAGTTGTACTGACATGTGGCTTTATCATGCTGTGTTGGGTTAAAAGATGTTAAAAGCTTTCAACCCAAAGCAAAGAGACAAGTGAAGGCCCGGCCAAGGCCAAGAGTATGTAATGAGGAGAGAAGCAAGAGACAAATGCGGCCAAGTGTATCCAGAGTAGTCTGAGGCAAGCGGAGACAAGTGTAACAAGAAGGGAGACAAGTGGGAGACAAGTGTGCACATATAACATATTTATATACATTACATGTGCACATCTCTACTCTTCAGAGTGCCCCCCAGACTGCGCTCTGTGCACTCCAGCCTCTTCACTGGCACTCTCTGCAGTTATGGTCTCTGCACGTCGCCCTGACGTTGTTGCGTTGGAAACTCACAAGAATGTGAGCAGTGTTCATAGCTACACATCCATTCCTGGATGAAGCTTAGATACCCATCTATGGAGACCCGTCCACCAAGACGTATCCATAGCGATGTATCTACCCAACCAGGGATCCTCCCTGGAATGAACACCAGACCTGACAACAGGTCGCCCTTAAAAGATACTCCCAAGGCGGGGGAACCAACGTGGACCCGGCCGTAGGGGTGGGCTGGGTGGGACAGAAACTCCACTGTCCCACTTTTGGCTTGAGCCAAAATGGACAGTGTAACATGTGTAATGAATACTGTGCACCCAAACCTGCCCAAAGCTCGACACAGTTTTACATTACGTGTGTACATCTCTACTCTTCAGAGTGCCCCCCAGACTGCGCTCTGTGCACTCCATCCTTTTCACTGGCACTCTCTGCAGTTATGGTCTCTGCACGTCGCCCTGACGTGGTTGCGTTGGAAACTCAAGAATGTGAGCAGTGTTCATAGCTACACATCCATTCCTGGATGAAGCTTAGATACCCATCTATGGAGACCCGTCCACCAAGACGTATCCATAGCGATGTATCTACCCAATGCATTTTTCCCAACGCACTTTAAAGAAAGAGACCGGCTCGCAGAGTAGCCGGAAAAGGAAAATACCAGAGTGGTTTGAAGAAAGTGGCCACTGGACTAGTGAAACCCTGGTCGTGGTGCCATCTATCCGCGTGTCCTTTGCGGGAAATCGCGTCACTCCAATTACTTTTGGAGGGGATCCACTCAAAGTAAATCCAGCAGCGAAGCGAAAACAAAAGAATATGGATCATGTGGCTCATGTGTTCGAGGTCAGGACTGTCTGATCTGCCTTTGATGAGCGCCATCAAAGCGGCAGTGTTATCGAGGTACCATGCGCCGTGGCGATTACAGAATCGCTCAGGTGTGGTAGTCATGAGGACTTGCAACAACTCAAGCTGTGCTATTTTGGCATCCCCTGGTGTCCAAAGGTCATAAGTTGATGGAGGGAGGTGAGACACAAAGCCAAGCCGGACCTCCACTGACTCTTGGAAGAAGACAAGGAGAAAACCACCCGCGCCTTCGCCTGGGGTCTCTAAGGCAGCGTCGGACGCTGCGACAAAGCGCTCATGGTGTCGTGGCCAGACATCAAGCTCGCGCTCTGGATGGATAGAGATCACGGCTTCAAGAATTTGAAAGCATTGTTCGAAAGCAGAAGTCATCTGATCACCTCGGACAAGTTGGCGCTCCTTAATTAAATGGAGGCCGCCACATCCAATCCGTCCGTAGACGCCCTGTTCGAAGAAATTGGCCAAGCCATACAACTTGGCGGCGACACCAGGTTTGAGGGTCTGTGCTTTGCGACAGTCGTGTATAATAGCCTTCAACTTGGATTCCAGGCTGCCGACAGGTCGTGGTCCAAACCCAGAAACAAACCCTTGTGGCTCATGGCATGGCGTTTCTCCTCCGCACATGGTGTACCCAGAAGTTGGTTCAGGATACCGAAAGCCCACTGAGCCGACCCTCGGCTCGAAGACCGAGGCATCATCGAAATATAGAGATACCAGCGCATAACATAAGCGACGGCCAAGGGCTTCAACAAGCCTGCTGTATCGGTTAAACGATGTCACTGCAAGAGGAAGACCGAAAAGAAGACCTGCGTAGACTTGGAAAGCTGGGGCAGCCCATTCGTGATGCCAAAAGGTTACAACGCACCCCCGCGTTTCGGTGACCCCCATAGGGCTATGTCGATAGGCATCCGGCCAGTCTTCACCTCCTGATTCCCAGGTGTCGGTGGCATAGGCCTGTGCCAGTTCACGCGAGCTCATGTGGCGGAGGACCTGACCGATGCGCTGTGCTGGCCGCAGTGGAGAGCAAAGCACCAGTTTGTTGGCATCGGAGGATCGAAGGGTTTGCCCTCCCGCGTCAGCATTGTCAATGATGCGCTGCTTGCCCGAGGATTGAGTGATCACACACCGTGGAATCAGCCGATAGGGCTGCCCATGTAACTGCTGCCTCAATTGGAATAGCATCAATGGAGGTGTGCAAAACCCCCGGCAGCGTCTTTCGTGGACTGCTCAAGGAGAAACTGGTCGTCTTTGCCAGGCTTGAGGGTAGATAAGATCTGGTAGTTGTGCTCTTCGCAGCCTGACAACACTTCCGCAAGAGTGATACGATCAGCGGGTTGAGAAGGGAAGACTCCATAACACGGCGCATAGCCTACAGCTGGGGGGCCTTCAATCAGACCAAAGGGGTATGTGACATCTGGCCAAGAGGTCAGCAAAATCAACAGAGCCACAAAGCCGAGGTCACGAGTGGCCGTGGTAGCTTGCAAGGCGACTGGTTGGAATTGTCGCAGATGTCGCCCTACTGCGCACCATCGCCGGTGAAGCTCCCGCAGTGCCCCCACTGCTGTACGGCGAAGGTCCCGTAGTCGGCCTCGGTATCGGGCATGGCAGTCGGCTGCAAAGACCAAGTCCAGATCCAGCGCTGCTGGTAACTCTGTAGGCAGGAAGTCTCGGCCCCGGCCCAAGGCTTGAGCGAAGTGCTCATCAGGGCTGAGGTCATATATAGGAGAGCAGCGGGGCCAGTGCTGCTCGCTGGTTCAGGGCACCCACCTGCTGGCCCTCGGCAGTGCGGAGAGTCTGACGGACATGAGCATCAGCCAAGTGGGGGGCCCAGTGGCCCATCTGTGTCATAGCGCCTGTCGTGCAACCAAGCAGGAAACGCATTGAACGGGGCCGCATTGATAATGTCCTCGACCATGGGGAACTGGAAGTTCTTGAAGAAGTGAGCGGGCTACAGTTTGCGAAAGGCCAATGTCAGGGCTTCCTGGCTCCACCAACGTGTTGGGCTTGCTGGGATGCCTTGGACCGTACGGATCAACCCCGTAGCGATGACCTGGCGTGCTGTCGGGGCCCCCCCACGACTGAAGCGGTGCATAGTTTGTCGGCCACGCGGGTGGCTCGCCTCGAAACAGAGGCCTGCTAGCACATCTGCTTCACAAGGGTCACAGAAGGGACAATCACATACCAGCACTTTGCCATGAAGTTCGTGCAGATCACTCACCAGGTTGGACATATATAAATGTGCTACGTAGTGCCATAACCAATCATTGGACTGACTGTTCAAACCAGGGATCACTGGAGAAGCCCACTTTGTCTTAGCCAGACGATGGGAACCTCTACCTTGGCCCACATACACATGGTGCGGCGGCAACTTGCCCTTCTCAAGGAGGACGTCATCAACTTCACCCCGCCGGGGGATCCGGGCAGCTTCACGAGGATCTGGTGGATAGAGGCCAAGCCCGAGTGCAAGGGGCGCCATCGCCCACTCCCGCAGAGCTCTCGGATCAAGGTCCAGCCAGTGTTCTCGGGCACCGACGCACTCGAATTGCGGCAGTCGAGGAACGTGCAATTTGGCGCGACCCACGCGCCCGGCCCACCATGATGCCGCGACTGCAATAGCAAAAGCTAAGACAGCAGTGTACTCGGCCTCTTCCTTAGAGGGATAGATCGTCTGGCCATCCTGCAAATAGGGAGTCCATTCGTGAGGTGCATGAGAGTGATGGCAGGTCAATGGTGGCCACTGGTCGATTTCGTCGATGTTGTGGCGGAGCATGCATCGTAGCGCTTGTCCCGCCAAAGCCCAGAATCCATCATAGAACGTTCGGTGGACCCCCGCCAATGGAGGCTACGCCATGGGTTCTCCCGGACGGACCCCCGCCCCGTTCAGCCAGCAGCCGAATCTCCTCAAGGATGAATTCACAGGCTTGGTTGTCTGTGTGGACTCGTTGTAGATCGCGACCTTGGAGCGTGGGCAAGCCATCAGGGTATTGTTCAGAGCGCAAGGGTGCCGGACATGGGCGGCCATCTTCAAACTGCCGAGCAATCTCCCGGGCCCTGTTTTTGGTGGAGCAGTCGAAGGCAGCACAAATGAAATCCACCTCAGAGAGCTGTTCATGGAGCGACTGCTCGAAGCGGATTGGAAAGGTCGTGGGACTCGTCCAACATCCAGTCCACTGACAGGGTGCGCCACCCGCACCAGAGGAAGGCCTTGGATAACGGCAGGTTGGGTCCGCAAAACAGGTCAGCAACCAAGGGACGGGGAGCATCAATGTCCCCTAAGGGGGAGTCCGCCCCGTTTTTTCGTCGGGGCCCCATCACTTCTTCCCGCCGCAGCAGGCCGCAGCGCCATGCCCAGGGGCGCCA